TTTTGAATTGATTTAATTAAAATAGCATGCTTTTTGGCAGTGGTGTAAAGTAACTAAGTACATTTACTCAAGTACTGTACTTAAAGGGCCCATGTCATGCTTTTCCGGTTATTACCCGTCCCCTTGTGTGTTATGAAGGTTTTTCTGCATGTAAACGGTGTGCAGAGTCAAAACCCTCAAAGTACACCCTGTAGGGAGTAAAACTCTAACACAGAAAATACCTCCCCAAAATGCCTCGTTGGAGATACGTCATTGTCCATTTGATTCTTCCATTTCGTTCCGGGTACGGCCTGATATCATGCTGTACCCGGAACGAAATGGACCAATCCGCGGAGCCGTTACGTTAAGCCCCCGCTGATTAGTCCAAATTGACCAATCCACGGACTTCCTCACACACACACACTCTATGTGCAGGCAGCTCTGCTGATTTCTCCTCCCTGGCTGCAGGCTGATAACAGACAGTTGGGATTGCGGCGAAATTCTCTCTGCAGACCCATTCTCACAGCGTTTATCAACCTTCTTCTTACTCAATATCAAGCCACACTTATTGTTTTTACTTCGGCTGTGAGTTTGTGTGTGCTCAGGATGAGTTTGGCTGTGTTTCGCTATGTATCCTAAACAAGGAAACCACACCTCCACGGAGCTCAGCGCGATTCACAACGTCCCGACCAATCAGAGCACACTGTGCTCACAGGGAGGGTGGGGGCTGGAGCTTTTGGAGCTACAACGAGCCGTTAAAGGCAGAGAGTGAAATTCAGTGAATACACGTAGTTTACAGAGATGCTGTATGAGAAACCAATGTGAGTTTGGAAAATTGCACAATATAAATCTATTCTAGTAGACCTCAACAATGGAATTATGATCAGTGGAAATGGCCATGACATGGGCCCTTTAAGTAAAAATAAAAGTGTTCTGAAACTTATTTCCATTTTATGTTGTACTTCTACTTTTACTAAAGTACAAGATCTGGTACTTCTACTTTTACTAAAGTACAAGATCTGAGTACTTCTACTTTTACTTAAGTACAAGATCTGAGTACTTCTACTTTTACTCACTTAAGTAAAATAACAATATTGGCTTCCAAATGTGTACTGCAGTAGAAGTATTAAGTAGCATAACATGGAAATACTTAGGTAAAGTACCTCAGAATTGAACTCAAGTACTTGAGTAATTTACTTCCCTTTCCTTCCAAAACGTTGTATGCTGTAAATAGATTTAAATATTGTTTAAAAGGTGAAATTAAACTGAATATTATTGTCTTTGTTCAGGTTTTGGAGCAGCACCCTGACGGACGCTGGAAAGGCTGCATCCATGATAACCGAACAGGAAATGACCGAGTGGGATACTTCCCTTCCACCATGGTGGAGGTCATCAGCAAGCGCACAGGTGTGTGTTTCAACTCCTATGCGTGTGTGTGTTGGAGTTAATTAAAATGGTGACCAATCTGAATTATCAGAGGAATACATTACACATGGAGAAGAGACTAAACACAGAAGAAGAACTTGGTGAAAGATAGAAGAAGAAGAAGATGATGAATGATGATGATGATTGATTAATGTTTTAGCCTCCACCATTAACCCTCAACAACTGCACTTACATCTAATTAATGAACTAACTTTGATTAACACAGCATATGTTTAACTGTTTTACAGCTTTATCTGAAATGACCTGTTAAGTAATGATGATACAGACATCCAAATTATCCACATGTCCCTGGCTGATAACGATTGTATTTTGATATTTTAGGAACATGTTTAGTTGTTTTCTTGCCTAGAATAATATGAGAAGATCATGGCTGCACCATAAATGTGAAGCTAGTTAGCTTAGCCTAGCACAAATACTGGAAACAATTGAGTGGTTTAATGGAGAATTTGGCACAATCTTACCTTAGCCAATAGTGCTAATACTAGGCCTACTAAACCACAGTTTAACAAATACATATGTTGACTAACAGGACTTGGTAACTGGTAAAGTTATTGTAGGGTTTAAAGAAGTTGTAGTGTTATCTCAATAAGGCTAATGCAGCTAGCTTAACTTTTTGAAAATGCTACTACAGAGTAACAGAATACTTATGCAGTTTATATAAACGTATATCATATTGAAAGTAGACATAAATAACTGTATATTTTGTAAAATAGTATTTAGCTTATTGTATTTACTTATTTTGATGAGTTCGATAAGGAGATTGACACTATTATTAGCTTTGCAGTAAAGCTACCGCTAGTCGATGATTAGCTTAGCGCTAAAACTAGAAACATCTAGCTTGGCTCTGTGCATAGGTAATAAAATCCAACAACAAGCACTATAGCAGCTCTAAAGATTAGTAATTAAACTAATGTTTGGTCAATTCAGACATTATCTCAAGAACTAAAATTACATGTTGTTTAGCTAGGCTAGTTTCTAGTGTTTGTCTTAGGCTAAGCTAACATTAGCTGTTGGTAGCATTACAGCATGCGCACAAGGCAAACACTCCCAAAATCTCAAAATACACATCCATACCAAGGGTTAAAGGTATTTAGTATTCTATATTTTGGTGTCATCTCTGTGTTTACATTACCTAAGAGGCAAGATGACCCGCTAATGTTTAAATAACCCAAAACTACTTGTAACCTCCTTTCTTTAACTCATATATAATAAGCTTTTTACCTCTTTGGTGAGATCTACAGAGCTCATTCACATCCATCTTGTCATCACACAGTGTCGCTGTGCAGAGGCTCAGATGTTTTTAACTGTGTATTGCTGTCTGTCTGTCTGTCTGTCTGTCTGTCTGTCTGTCTGTCTGTCTGTAGGTCTGGTTTCTCTGTCTGTCTCTCTGTCTGCTTTATCACAAAAGCCATGTACTCACCCTTTCTGCTCATCATTCTTCAGTCTTTATCACTTGTATTTACTGTATAGTCCATTTAACTCTATAGCACTGCTCCAAGTCAGGGATAATGCCATTGTGGCTGCATCTGTCCTAACATTCACTACATTAAATGACAGCTGTGGTGAGAGCAGGAAACAGCTGGAGCGCCGCCATACTGAGTAATTACTGCCCAGGCAAAGCACACACACAGCAGCTGTTTTAGAGAGAGGTTTCATTGACTCAACTGGTTTTCATCCATTTCAATTATCCTTTTACATTCTTCATGTTCTTCTACATGTTCTGCACATCTCATTTCCCTCGTGTCCCTACAGCAGGGATGCTACATTTTTAAAGCTGGTTTCAACTAACATGAATGGCCCATTAAGGCGAGATGGAAATATGAACAAAATGTTTGTATGTTGCAGCAGTTGTGACAATAATGTGGGAAACTACCAGATATATGTACTTAAAGGAATACTTAATAACCCTATGTTACCTTGAATTATGGGAGAACATTTGGTTTTTCTTGCATACCTCCAGCTTGAACGAAGAATGAAATACATTGAATTTAACTAAATCATGGCCATTTTTTGTGGAAACATCCCTTTACAAACTCTCACACGTAAATAGTATGGGTGTAATGTTTGACACAAGCATCAGGTTCAGAAACGAGTCACTCTTCTGGCTAGCTCACCAATTTCTTATGTCAAAATACAAAATCATCACTAAAAGAAAAACGTCATCTTTGCGGGATGGTTTCAGATTCATAACCAACACATACAATTAAACAGATAGAACCTAAAAATGAGACGGACTTCAGATATTTATATGCACAGGTTTCAAGAACTTACTGTATATTACACACTAGCCTTTGTTGGTTGGGTTTCAACATGAGTAGTGAGATTGGTTCGGAAAACCAGACATGTGCTTCTGTTTGTTTCACAAAGTATTTGCAGCAATGGGCGTTTGTTTTTAGGTTGTTTGGTGCAAAGGGACTTTTTTTCTGACTTTTTGTTCAGAATAATAATTGACCATTGTTCGATGGCACAGCACCATTGTCGTATGCTACTAGCTAATGACATCTAAAGGAACATACGGCATGTCATTAGTTATTTCCTATGTCGCATAATAAGACACTAAGGTCTGAAAAAAAAGGGACCATCCCCTCTTCCATCGTCCATCACTTTAACCCCTCCATACATTTCATTTCTACAACGGCCACATATTTGTCGACTCCTCCTTCTTCTTCTTCATCCTCCCACCTTTTAACATCCAACATTTTCCTCCACCACCTTTTTGATTTACTTTGTAACCTCAACCTTCTTTGTTTTTAATTTGTCTTTCCCCCTCCCCTCCCCTCTCCCTCCTTCTTTCTTTCATGTAACTCTCTGTTTTGTCGTCTGTTGGCGGTGGTTCACTGTTGGCTGGCTGTGTGTGTGTGTGTGTGTGTGTGTGTGTGTGTGTGTGTGTGTGTCGGTGTGTGTGTGTGTGTGTGTGTCGTCGCGGTGGGTGTTATTTTAGGTTTGGCCAGCACAGTCATTTGCACTCAACAGTTTCAAAAGATACCGCTGGTTCCTCCGGCAACGGTTGCCCCTGCAAACTCGATATTGAACGGCAACGACACCACCTTCCATCAGATCCATATCCTGCCTCCACCGCCTCCTCCTCCACCTCCACATTCCCATCAGCCACTGCTTCCACTTTTCACTTCCTTTGGCTATAGCAAGTCGCCCGTGACAAGCCCACAGGGAGAAACCCCCACTGTCCCAGGTACACGCCCCCTTTTCTCATTATTTGTATTATTATTATTATGATTATTATTATATTTATTATGATTATCAAAGCTTCAAGGGATGCTTTTTTCTCTGCACACTTAAGCAAAACTCTATTTCTGATTGGTCATGTCAAACTCTAATTTAAATGCAGTTATAAAAAAGGCATCCATTGAAGTTTTCTGTTATGGATCATTATTTATGTATCTTTATGTGTTGATCATACTGTATAGCTTTTATTTTTCTGTTGTTGCTGTTATCATCTCCATTACTGAGAGCCACTTTTAGCAGGAGTATACAGTAATATGTTTAAGCCACTTGCTACTGTATCATAGAAATAAGAGCTAATGGACCAACACAGTCTCACGGCATTTCGTGTTATAGTCACGAAATTAATCTATTGATTCGTGTTCACCAACACGATTTCGCCATTTTTTTCGTGTCACACAGAACGATTTTAAAAGCAATGTAAATAATAACAAATTAGAAGGAAAAAGACATTTAAAAAAATACAGATTTAAGTATTCTGACACAGAACGATTTTAGAAGCAATGTATTTATATTGGTAGTATGTTTCGTGCCTGCACCAAATAATAACAAATTAGAAGGAAAAAGAGATGACATCAAATACAGATGTCAGTATTCTGAGGCTCTGAGCCATTTATTTTCCTCACTGACGGCAAAAAAACTCAGACATTATACAATTTAAAATAAAAGGGATAGGGTTAGGCTTAGGGTAAGATATTGAGTAAGAACATGTTTTTATGAACCACACAGCTTCTGGTCTTCCAAGACCCGACCGGACAAAAAGACGTGTTGCAGGCACGAAACATACTACCAATAGAAATACATTGCATTTAAAATCGTTCTGTGTGACACGAAAAAAAGGTGAAAATCGTGTTGGTGACCGCGAATCAATAGATTAAATTAATTTCGTGACTATAACACGAAATGCCGTGAGACTGGGTTGAATGGACATATGCTAAAATGCAAATGTATTTAAGTATTAAGATTAAGTTATGCAGGTCTTGTGTTTGGTCATCAAATATATCTTTACAGTTTAACTATAATCTAACATTGGGATTAAACATTGATTGAAGGGTTTAAAGAAGTTGTAGTGTTATAAAAATACAGCTAATGTTGCTAGTTTTATTTTTTGAAAATACTGCTATAGAGAAACAGAATACAGTTCAACGTTGTGGTTAATATAAACTAGATTACAAAACCAGACAGAGATAATTGAACATTTTGTAAGAAAGGCTAATTGTATTTGCTTTTATTTTTACTGAGAGTTAGATAAGGAGAATTACTCTGCTAGTAGATGCTTAGCTTAGCTTAGCACAGAAGCATCTAGCTTGGCTCTGTGCATAGGTAACACATCCATCAATTAGTCCCAATAACTACATGTTGTTAAGCTAAGCTAGCATCTATTTTCACTACTCTTAGCTTTGAGGTTAAGCTGCCGCTATTAGACGGTTAGCATAGCTTAGCTTAGCACAGAAGCATCTAGCTTGGCTCTGTGCATAGGTAACACATCCATGAATTAGTCCCAATAACTACATGTAGTTAAGCTAGGCTAGCATCTATTTTCACTACTCTTAGCTTTGAGGTTAAGCTGCCGCTATTAGACGGTTAGCATAGCTTAGCTTAGCACAGAAGCATCTAGCTTGGCTCTGTGCATAGGTAACACATCCATGAATTAGTCCCAATAACTACATGTAGTTAAGCTAGGCTAGCATCTATTTTCACTACTCTTAGCTTTGAGGTTAAGCTGCCGCTATTAGACGGTTAGCATAGCTTAGCTTAGCACAGAAGCATCTAGCTTGGCTCTTTGCATAGGTAACACATCCATCAATAACTCCAAAAACTATCCATTGTTAAAATAGGCTAGCATCTGTCGCTAGTAGTCGGTTAAGTTAGCTTCCAAACATAATAAAATGTGTAAACAAGCACCTCTAAATTACCTCTAAAAAGTAAAAAAAACTAGAAAATGTAATTAGTTGCTTGACACCTATATGCAGAACGTCATAATTCAATGGGTATAGCCAGGGGCGGACTGGGACTAAAAATCAGCCCGGGACTCTCGACCTAACCCAGTCTCACGGCATTTCGTGTTATAGTCACGAAATTAATCTATTGAATCGTGTTCACCAACACGATTTCGCCATTTTTTTCGTGTCACACAGAACGATTTTAAAAGCAATGTAAATAATAACAAATTAGAAGGAAAAACACATTTAAAAAAATACAGATTTAAGTATTCTGACACAGAACGATTTTAGAAGCAATGTATTTATATTGGTAGTATGTTTCGTGCCTGCACCAAATAATAACAAATTAGAAGGAAAAAGAGATGACATCGTGTTGGTGAACGCGAATCAATAGATTAAATTAATTTCGTGACTATAACACGAAATGCCGTGAGACTGGGTCTGGTGAGAATTTAATCTATTGATTCGCGTTCACCAACACGATTTTCACATTTTTTTCGTGTCACACAGAACGATTTTAAATGCAATGTATTTCTATTGGTAGTATGTTTCGTGCCTGCAACACGTCTTTTTGTCCGGTCGGGTCTTGGAAGACCAGAAGCTGTGTGGTTCATAAAAACATGTTCTTACTCAATATCTTACCCTAAGCCTAACCCTATCCCTTTTATTTTAAATTGTATAATGTCGGAGTTTTGTTGCCGTCAGTGAGGAAAATAAATGGCTCAGAGCCTCAGAATACTGACATCTGTATTTTTTGTCATCTTTTTTTCCTTCTAATTTGTTATTATTTGGTGCAGGCACGAAACATACTACCAATATAAATACATTGCTTCTAAAATCGTTCTGTGTCAGAATACTTAAATCTGTATTTTTTTAAATGTCTTTTTCCTTCTAATTTATTATTATTTACATTGCTTTTAAAATCGTTCTGTGTGACACGAAAAAAATGGCGAAATCGTGTTGGTGAACACGAATCAAGAGATTAATTTCGTGACTATAACACGAAATGCCGTGAGACTGTGTTGCTCGACCGGCTCACTTCAGTACCGGCCCATCGTCCCGAATGTCCCAATGGCCAGTCCGCCACTGGGCATAGCCTCTGAACAACCTGTAATTCTTGTTAAATTGGTAGTGATTGACATTAGGACCCACTTAATCTTTAGAGAATACCTACGCTATTGAGGAAGAATAGATGTTGGGTGGTAGAAACTCACCATTTTGCCTCAGACCTCTGTTCACCTGATTTAGTTTGTGCCTTATTTAAATGTCTTTTCGTTTTACCTTATTTTTCCTTCATCTTCCTCTTCGTTCTTTCCTCTTCCCCCCGTACATCTCCAGTAACTTTCACCAAGACAAATCCTGCAAGTTTCTGAACCCCAGACATCACACACAACCCTCTCCTGACCAGACTGTGTTTTCGTTCTGTCCTGCCTCGTCCTGCGTGTTATTGTCACGTCTGATCATTTCAACACCACTTACCCACCTTGCACTTATACCCTCAATGTGTGTGTGAGAGTGTGTGTGTTGGTGGTGAAGGGTGGGAATAGTAAAGTTAAGATAGTGCCCGGTTTTGGACGGGGGATTGTGCTGAAACACAATTGTTAATTTTAACAACTTCAAAACCACACCCAATGAGTCTCGGCAAAATTGTCTTTTTGTTTTGGGAAAGATTGCCGTTAAAGATGTTTAAATTTAGAGGTAAAGGTAAAGCTTTGATGAAATTAACCAGGGATATTTTCTTTTCAGCTAAGAAATTAAGAATATATTTAATTTAAAATGTGTTATGTAAGGGACCTAAAATGTATTGTTAGAAAAATGTGTCACATGGGATGTTTTGCAGGTAAGGTATTCACTGACTGTAACATTTCTGTTCTGTAAATGGGAAACTTTACTGGTCACCATTTTGTTTCCTCCAAGAGAATAAACCCCTCAAAAATAACTGTCATACAGTAAGCCCAAAAATGTGAATTCAGGAATGAGTCCTAAACCCAGAAATGAGTCAGCATTTTAGCACTTTCCTGTTCCCTCGTCTGAAAGTCAATGGTCCTCATCCTTCAGGTAAAGTGAAGTCATGTGACCGTGCTGTAGTTCCTTTATAGCCCAACATTAGCCGTCTTTAGCTTAGCGGTGGTGACGTGAAGTCATGTGACCGTGCTGTTGTTCCTTTATAGCCCAACATTAACCTCCTTTAGCTTAGCAGTGGTGAAGTCATGTGACTGCTTTAGTTCCTTTATAGCCCAACATTAGCCACCTTTAGCTTAGCGTAGGTGATGTGAAGTCATGTGACCGTGCTGTAGTTCCTTTATAGCCCAACATTAGCCACCTTTAGCTTAGCGGTGGTGACGTGAAGTCATGTGACTGCTTTAGTTCCTTTATAGCCCAACATTAGCCACCTTTAGCTTAGCGGTGGTGACGTGAAGTCATGTGACCGTGCTGTAGTTCCTTTATAGCCCAACATTAGCCACCTTTAACTTAGCGGTGGTGACGTGAAGTCATGTGACTGCTTTAGTTCCTTTATAGCCCAACATTAGCCACCTTTAGCTTAGCGGTGGTGACGTGAAGTCATGTGACCGTGCTGTAGTTCCTTTATAGCCCAACATTAGCCACCTTTAGCTTAGCGATGGTGACGTGAAGTCATGTGACTGCTTTAGTTCCTTTATAGCCCAACATTAGCCACCTTTAGCTTAGCGGTGGTGACGTGAAGTCATGTGACCGTGCTGTAGTTCCTTTATAGCCCAACATTAGCCGTGGTGATGTGAAGTCAAGAAAATCCTATTGGCTTGTTGTCGAGGGAACCGGGGAGATGTTAACTTCAAGTTTGGACCAAAAACTCCGTCATCTCTGCACCTTGCTATAGAAAAAAACACTATGCATTTACTTATAACTAAATCAGGTCAACATACTTTCCCTATTTGTTGTTCACAAGGGCTGAAAACATTTCTTTTTAAACTCACAGAAGCTTGAAGTCAAATCAAAGCCTTTGAAAGCTGACTGTTCAGTCCTTTGTTTCTCTTGGAGGGATTCAAAATGTGCACAAAGAGGATCTGCAGAATTACATGAAAGCAAATGGAACTTGTTGACGTGTTTCTCTGAGCACTGTATGCCACACGTATAAACCATTTATAAACCTTATTAGGATGGTTATAATGGTTTATGACACTCTCCAAATGCACGACAGCAGCCCCATTCTGATGAGACTTACATATATAATCCAACACATATTATATATGTATGTGTATGTACATTATGGCATATATATGTGTTTATACACACAGATATTCACGTTATGGATTTATTTATGTACTATGGGTATATAAATGTTTTCATATATATATATGCTGTATTTTCTCTGTGTATAACTGTGTGTGTGTGTGTGTGTGTTGTGAGTATGAGAGTGTGGTGTGTGAGTTAGTTTGAAATATCCTTTAAAAAACCTTCCTTATGCGCCTTTAATCCCATCTCCCAGCTCTCCTTATGACCCCTCTGTATTTTCGGTATTTTTTGCAGATAAGTTTGAATTTATTTAATTAACCCCACGTCACCCTTCTTTAAAAGAAAAATATATAATTACAACAGCAGCAATCTGCAAAAGTAATTAGAAGTGTCCGTTGTTGAAATGAAATGAAGTTGAATTTATTTGTAAGGGCAGAGGTTGGAGAAGTACTCAGATCTTGTGCTTGAGTAGAAGTACTCAGATCTTGTACTTGAGTAAAAGTAGAAGTACTCAGATCTTGTACTTGAGTAAAAGTAGAAGTACTCAGGTCTTGTACTTGAGTAAAAGTATAAGTACTCAGATCTTGTACTTGAGTAAAAGTAGAAGTACTCAGATCTTGTACTTGAGTAAAAGTAGAAGTACTCAGATCTTGTACTTGAGTAAAAGTAGAAGTACTCAGATCTTGTACTTGAGTAAAAGTAGAAGTACTCAGATCTTGTACTTGAGTAAAAGTAGAAGTACTCAGATCTTGTACTTGAGTAAAAGTAGAAGTACTCAGATATTGTACTTGAGTAAAAGTAGAAGTACCAGAGTGTAGGAATACTCTGTTTCAGTAAAAGTCCTGCATTCAAAATGTTCCTCAAGTAAAAGTATAAAAGTATTCTCATCAAAATATAGTGAAAGTAGCGACAGTAAAAGTAGTCATTGTGCAGATTGGTCCATTTCAGAATAATATATATGATATGTTTTATAATGATTGATCATGAAAGTGTTCTCAAAGCTGGTAAAGGTGCAGCTAGTTTGAATGACTTTGTATACTGCAGGGTAGCTTGTGAATTTACTCCAGGTGGAACTAAAGTCTGATTTAACACTTGATTATATTTCACATCATTCATCCACATCTGTGAAGTAACTAAAGGTATTAAATACATGTAGTGGAGGAAAAGTACACAGTAGAAAACTTAAATACTCAAGTAAAGTACAAGTCCCTCAAAATCTTACTTAAGTACAAGTAGTAAATGTACTTCCCACCTCTATGGACAAATGCTGTATGTAATGTAGCATCAACAATCGGTGTTTATTATCTTTTTACTGCTTTACCAAACTTATAACAGATTAGCATAACTATGGAACAAAAGCTAACGTAGCTAAAGGTTGAATTGGCAACCTTTGCTTACACGTTAGCCATATCAACTAATAATTAAGTTCGTTCAGCTTCCCCAAAGTTGACAAAAATATTTTTATATTTGCTGCATAGCATACTACTAGCACACATAGCATATTATTTGATCTTGCCTCAGTATTAGCGACTTTTTTGATATCAGTCGCTACACAGAGCTTAAAGGAGATTCAATATCGAAGTTTACCAGATACACTCAGAAACAAAAACACAACTCCAGAAAGCTTGTTCAGTTGCCCAAATGTTCTGCTTTAAATGCTAATATCTGACAGCAAAGGGATAGCATTACTTCCTGGGCCAGTTTAGGGTCGGTTAGCGGCTAACGGTGGTGTTCTGTGTTGAAGGTTGCCGCGGCTCAGAGGTCAGTCCTCACAGCTCCCCCACCACGTCCTGCGGGCCCCAAGGAGGCTCCAACGAAGAGATCTGGGTTCTGCGCAAACCCACGGCAGGTAACTGCCCTCAACCCCGAATCCTTAAACTCCAACCAGCGGGCAAACAGTATCTGACGGCCGTTCAAAAGATTCAAAGATTAAAATTGTCATATGCACAAAGCTCAGAGATGGCAAAAGTACACACATCCTTTACTCAAGTAGAAGTACAGATACTCGTGTTTAAAAATACTCTGGTGAAAGTAGAAGTACTAACTAAACTTCTTTCCTCAAGTAAAAGTAAAGAGGGCTTTGAAATGTACTTCAGTAAAAAGTACCCATAACTAGCAGCTGTTTTAAAGAGTACCTGACCTCCCTTTATATTAATAGAACAATAATGTCATTGTTAGCTAATGAATGTTTCCATGCTGAACAACGGCAACATGACAACGTTTTCATTGGTCCCTCTTCTTTAGAGAAGACCAGGAAATGATGGATACACGGATCGTGTTCAAATCAATAGGCACGCAATGACTCTAAATAATAATGATCACGCCACCAAACACACATTCAAACTAAAGGAACCAGCCTGTTTGGGAAATGAGAGAAGTAGAAAGTACAGGTATTTGGGTTCAAAATGTAAGAAGTAGAAAGTACAGGTATTTGTGTTCAACATGTAAGAAGTAGAAAGTACAGGTATTTGGGTTCAACATGTAAGAAGTAGAAAGTACAGGTATTTGTGTTCAACATGTGAGAAGTAGAAAGTACAGGTATTTGTGTTCAACATGTAAGAAGTAGAAAGTACAGGTATTTGGGTTCAACATGTAAGAAGTAGAAAGTACAGGTATTTGTGTTCAAAATGTAAGAAGTAGAAAGTACAGGTATTTGTGTTCAAAATGTAAGAAGTAGAAAGTACAGGTATTTGTGTTCAAAATGTAAGAAGTAGAAAGTACAGGTATTTGTGTTCAACATGTAAGAAGTAGAAAGTACAGGTATTTGTGTTCAACATGTAAGAAGTAGAAAGTACAGGTATTTGTGTTCAAAATGTAAGAAGTAGAAAGTACAGGTATTTGGGTTCAACATGTAAGAAGTAGAAAGTACAGGTATTTGTGTTCAACATGTAAGAAGTAGAAAGTACAGGTATTTGTGTTCAAAATGTAAGAAGTAGAAAGTACAGGTATTTGGGTTCAACATGTAAGGAGTAGAAAGTACAGGTATTTGTGTTCAACATGTAAGAAGTAGAAAGTACAGGTATTTGTGTTCAACATGTAAGAAGTAGAAAGTACAGGTATTTGTGTTCAACATGTAAGAAGTAGAAAGTACAGGTATTGTGTTCAAAATGTAAGAAGTAGAAAGTACAGGTATTTGGGTTCAACATGTAAGAAGTAGAAAGTACAGGTATTTGTGTTCAACATGTAAGAAGTAGAAAGTACAGGTATTTGTGTTCAAAATGTAAGAAGTAGAAAGTACAGGTATTTGTGTTCAACATGTAAGAAGTAGAAAGTACAGGTATTTGTGTTCAAAATGTAAGAAGTAGAAAGTACAGGTATTTGGGTTCAACATGTAAGAAGTAGAAAGTACAGGTATTTGTGTTCAACATGTAAGAAGTAGAAAGTACAGGTATTTGTGTTCAACATGTAAGAAGTAGAAAGTACAGGTATTTGGGTTCAAAATGTAAGAAGTAGAAAGTACAGGTATGCTCATCACTGTCACTTTAGAGGAGGCGCCGTGGGAATTGTAGTCTTTTATAGTGTGTTGACTACAGACGTCACAATTAGGTGGCCTTTCTTATAAAAAAAACGAAATACTGGCTCTAACAGCAATATTATTTTGAAGGATGGAAGAGCATAAAGATCTAACCAGATGCTCAGATACAACAACCATTCACTGAATCATTAAACCTTGCTAATGTAAACTCTAAATAAACATCATACTAAACTGCACCAAAGTAATGGCAAAACTAATATAGGATATTGGAACCACAAAGTTAGCAACACTGCTTTGTGTATCGATGGTTTTGTTGGGTAAATAAAGTGTTATACCGTGGAATCACTTGCAAAGATGCTACAGTATTTTAGGATGTTTTCTTCGGGACATATTTGGTAGGAAATATGAAATAAAAAGCCATCTACTAATACGATTTTTTTAAAACCCAATATCCGAGGTTCTTTATGACATTTTCGGTTGTTTCTCTGCATTTTAAAGATTGTTAGGCTGTTAAATGGTCAAGTTTGGACTCTCTTTGAAATGTAATGACCTTGTTGTAGCAGATTAATGCAAGTGTTTGTAAAGTCATTTTGACGTGCGGCAGCTGTTCAGTCTTATCTCATATCTCATGTAAAACAGCCATGTGTGTCCGTTCCCTCTTCACATGCCTATCACGCTGAGTTGTTTTGAGTTTTGAGAACCCAATCGTGCATCCATTTCAAAAGTCAAAAATCTTTCAGTTTGTGTGTCCAGACAGAGAGATCGAAATACCGTTTCAATACAAAAACAAATACAAAAACAAATAGAAATATGTATATATCTATATACAATCAACAGACACATTTATACATATGCACACATTAAGCTAAACGATGTTTGAAGGCTTTCAGATACTCTTTGACCCGCTCCTGCTTCCATCTATAGATCAGCTGAACTCAGTAGCCTTATGTTTAGACGGCAGGCATCTGCATCGGTCTACTGTGTGTCTGTCCACTGGATGCATGGAGAAGGAAGCAACGTAGGGAGAAAAGGTGTGTGTGTGTGTGTGTGTGTGTGTGTGTGTGTGTGTGTGTGTGTGTGTGTGTGGGGAAGCAAAAGGTGTGTCTTGTTGACTCCACTTCCTGTGTTTGTTGCTCAGTCGTTCGTCACCCTGTCTGTCTGTCAAACTACATGCTGCCCAGTGCATTTCAAAGGAGAGTCACACCTGTTGCCACGTTGCTTTGGATATCAGCTAAACCACTCAATGTGTGTGTGTGTGTGTGTGTGTGTGTGTGTGTGTGTGTGTGTGTGTGTGTGTGTGTGTGTGTGTGTGTGTGTGTGTGTGTGTGTGTGTGTGTGTGTGTGTGTGTGTGTGTGTGTGTGTGTGTGTGTGTGTGTGTGTGTGTGTGTGTGTGTGTGTGTGTGTGTGTGTGTGTGTGTGTGTGTGTGTGTGTGTGTGACTGTATGCATCCATTTGTTTGTTGCATGTGTGCATTTGTTTGCACAATATCTATACATATTGTTCGGGCGGTTGCATGCATGCGTGTGAATGCGTGTGTGTGAATGTATGTGTGTGTGTGTGTGTGTGTGTGTGTGTGTGTGTGTGTGTGTGTGTGTGTGTGTGTGGCAGGTGGGGACCGCAGCAGTTTGGGCAGTTCTGGCAGTGTGACCAGTGTTCGGTCGTCGGGCAGCGGTCAGAGCGCCGGCAGCGTTCACGTGATGCACGCACAGTCCGAGGGGGTGAAGGTAAAACACACACACACACACACACACACACACACACACACACACACACACACACACACACACACACACACTCTACCCTGTAACTCGTGTGTGTTTAAGTGTGAACAGTTCTAATATGGACTGATGCAGGGATTGAACCTTAGAACAGATTATCATAACTATGGAACAAAAAGCTAACGTTGCTAAAGTGTGAATTGGCAACCATTGCTTACACGACCTATAATTTAATCAACTTATGATTTATCAATGTTGCATTTTCAGTTCGTTCAGCTTGTTGCTGCTCCAACATAGCATACTCTTTGATCTCGCCTCAGTTAATCTAATTGAGTTTATTATGGCCTTTTTTGATATCAGTCGCTACACAGAGCTTAAAGGAGATTCAATATCATTACCAGATACACTCAGAATGAAAGAACACAACTCCAGATATCTTGTTCAGTTGCCCACATGTTCTGCTTTAAATGCTAATATCTGACAGCCGAGTGGGTGAAGGTACCACAAACACACTCTACCCTGTAATTCATGTGTGTTTAAGTGTGAATATTACAAATATGGACAAGGGCATTGATTAAAGCTTTCATTTATTGTTGGTAATGCCTCTCTGTGAACATCGAGTCCAAATGTATATTTCCAGAGATACATGTGATAAGGTATATCACTGCCTCCTTTGGAGAAGATCACATTTTCACTATTATCGTTATTGGGAGTATCCACACATCAAGGAAAAACGAATTAAGCAATAAGATATGTTTATAAAACCATCCATTGAAAAATCGACACATATTTAGGAGGATAGTGTGGCGCAGTGGGCTAGTGCGTTGGTGTTCGGTTCAGGTGGGCACAGGTTCAAACCGGTTCAAACCCCACTGCAGTCAGCATGTCGTTGTGTCCCGGAGACACTTCACCCAAATTGCTTCTGTGGGGATTGTCCACAGTATTGAGTATGTAAGTCGCTTTGGATGAAAGCGTCTAACATGTGACATGTCATATAATGTAATTTAAGCAGTGAAAATGTGCTTTATTCTACCTCTTGTAGGGTGTCTCAACTTTTAGGGGCCTAAACTCCTCTAATATACTGTATTTGCAAGTAATATTCCAAGAGGTACATCAATACAAATCTGCTGATCCATTTTCTAGGTTCAATCTTTATTATATATAATGTGATAATAATCATTTGGATTTATAGGACGCATTTTAGGGTATTCACAGACAGGCTAAAAATCCTAAAAACAACATTATAAGTGGGTATTAACAGTTTTTACCAGATTATTTTGAATACTTATCTGATTTTTTCTGTTTGGTTTCAACCATTTTTGAAAGGGTTATTTGTTGTAAGACTCATTTGGTGCCAGAATAATACATTTCAATTAAGAATATGAACTTAAAACTCACCTGGAAGGGGAATGGTGAACTTCAGCCTCTTGTGGCCGAAATGAGAATTACAACAACAAACGATTGGTTTGACCTGTTTTACAGAAACTTCTAAAATGATCCTGGAAACCTTTTTTTTTTGGCTGTTCTTAATTCTTTAAACGGAAACAAAAAAAGATTAAAACCAGTTGTATAAATTGATCACCAGATGTGTTGATACAGGTCTGCTTCTCAGGGCTTTCTTATAAATAGCAAAAACCAAAGAGAAACATGTTATTAGTTTTTAAATTATAAACCTGAAAATGTAAAAATAAAAACTTAAAGGTCACCTATTATGCAAAATCCTCTTCTTCATGTCTCTTCTACATCAACATGTGTCCCCTCTTCTTCATGTCTCTTCTTCATCAACATGTGTCCCCTCTTCTTCATGTCTCTTCTTCATCAACATGTGTCCCCTCTTCTTCATGTCTCTTCTTCATCAACATGTGTCCCCTCTTCTTCATGTCTCTTCTTCATCAACATGTGTCCCCTCTTCTTCATGTCTCTTCTTCATCAACATGTGTCCCCTCTTCTTCATGTCTCTTCTACATCAACATGTGTCCCCTCTTCTTCATGTCTCTTCTACATCAACATGTGTCCCCTCTTCTTCATGTCTCTTCTACATCAACATGTGTCCCCTCTTCTTCATGTCTCTTCTACATCAACATGTGTCCCCTCTTCTTCATGTCTCTTCTACATCAACATGTGTCCCCTCTTCTTCATGTCTCCTCTACATCAACATGTGTCCCCTCTTCTTCATGTCTCTTCTTCATCAACATGTGTCCCCTCTTCTTCATGTCTCTTCTTCATCAACATGTGTCCCCTCTTCTTCATGTCTCTTCTTCATCAACATGTGTCCCCTCTTCTTCATGTCTCTTCTTCATCAACATGTGTCCCCTCTTCGTCATGTCTCTTCTACATCAACATGTGTCCCCTCTTCTTCATGTCTCTTCTACATCAACATGTGTCCCCTCTTCTTCATGTCTCTTCTTCATCAACATGTGTCCCCTCTTCTTCATGTCTCTTCTTCATCAACATGTGTCCCCTCTTCTTCATGTCTCTTCTTCATCAACATGTGTCCCCTCTTCTTCATGTCTCTTCTTCATCAACATGTGTCCCCTCTTCTTCATGTCTCTTCTTCATCAACATGTGTCCCCTCTTCTTCATGTCTCTTCTTCATCAACATGTGTCCCCTCTTCTTCATGTCTCTTCTACATCAACATGTGTCCCCTCTTCTTCATGTCTCTTCTTCATCAAACATGTGTCCCCTCTTCTTCATGTCTCTTCTTCATCAACATGTGTCCCCTCTTCTTCATGTCTCTTCTTCATCAACATGTGTCCCCTCTTCTTCATGTCTCTTCTACATCAACATGTGTCCCCTCTTCTTCATGTCTCTTCTTCATCAACATGTGTCCCCTCTTCTTCATGTCTCTTCTTCATCAACATGTGTCCCCTCTTCTTCATGTCTCTTCTACATCAACATGTGTCCCCTCTTCTTCATGTCTCTTCTACATCAACATGTGTCCCATCTTCTTCATGTCTCTTCTACATCAACATGTGTCCCCTCTTCTTCATGTCTCTTCTACATCAACATGTGTCCCCTCTTCTTCATGTCTCTTCTACATCACTTGTGTCCCCTCTTCTTCTTCATGTCTCTTCTACATCAACATGTGTCCCCTCTTCTTCATGTCTCTTCTACATCAACATGTGTCCCCCTCTTCTTCATGTCTCTTCTACATCAACATGTGTCCCCTCTTCTTCATGTCCTTCTTCATCAACATGTGTCCCCCTCTTCTTCATGTCTCTTCTTCATCAACATGTGTCCCCTCTTCTTCATGTCTCTTCTTCATCAACATGTGTCCCCCGTCTTCTTCATGTCTCTTCTTCATCAACATGTGTCCCCTCTTCTTCATGTCTCTTCTTCATCAACATGTGTCCCCTCTTCTTCATGTCTCTTCTTCATCAACATGTGTCCCCTCTTCTTCATGTCTTTCATGTCCTCTTTCTACATCAACATGTGTGCCCCTCTTCTATCAACATGTGTCCCTCTTCTTCATGGCTACATCAACATGTGTCCCCTCTTCTTCATGTCTCTTCTACATCAACATGTGTCCCCTCTTCTTCATGTCTCTTCTACATCAACATGTGTCCCCTCTTCTTCATGTCTCTTCTTAATCAACATGTGTCCCCTCTTCTTCATGTCTCTTCTTCATCAACATGTGTCCCCTCTTCTTCATGTCTCTTCTTCATCAACATGTGTCCCCTCTTCTTCATGTCTCTTCTTCATCAACATGTGTCCCCTCTTCTTCATGTCTCTTCTACATCAACATGTGTCCCCTCTTCTTCATGTCTCTTCTACATCAACATGTGTCCCCTCTTCTTCATGTCTCTTCTACATCAACATGTGTCCCCTCTTCTTCATGTCTCTTCTACATCAACATGTGTCCCCTCTTCTTCATGTCTCTTCTACATCAACATGTGTCCCCTCTTCTTCATGTCTCTTCTACATCAACATGTGTCCCCTCTTCTTCATGTCTCCTCTACATCAACATGTGTCCCCTCTTCTTCATGTCTCTTCTACATCAACATGTGTCCCCTCTTCTTCATGTCTCTTCTTCATCAACATGTGTCCCCTCTTCTTCATGTCTCTTCTTCATCAACATGTGTCCCCTCTTCTTCATGTCTCTTCTTCATCAACATGTGTCCCCTCTTCTTCATGTCTCTTCTTCATCAACATGTGTCCCCTCTTCTTCATGTCTCTTCTTCATCAACATGTGTCCCCTCTTCTTCATGTCTCTTCTCATCAACATGTGTCCCCTCTTCTTCATGTCTCTTCTACATCAACATGTGTCCCCTCTTCTTCATGTCTCTTCTTCATCAACATGTGTCCCCTCTTCTTCATGTCTCTTCTTCATCAACATGTGTCCCCTCTTCTTCATGTCTCCTCTACATCAACATGTGTCCCCTCTTCTTCATGTCTCTTCTACATCAACATGTGTCCCCTCTTCTTCATGTCTCTTCTACATCAACATGTGTCCCCTCTTCTTCATGTCCTCTTCTTTCATCAACATGTGTCCCCTCTTCTTCATGTCTCTTCTCATCAACATGTGTCCCCTCTTCTTCATGTCTCTTCTTCATCAACATGTGTCCCCTCTTCTTCATGTCTCTTCTACATCAACATGTGTCCCCTCTTCTTCATGTCTCTTCTACATCAACATGTGTCCCCCTCTTCTTCATGTCTCTTCTACACTCCCCCCCCCAAAACATGTGTCCCCTCTTCTTCATGTCTCTTCTTACATCAACATGTGTCCCCTCTTCTTCATGTCTCTTCTACATCACATGTGTCCCCTCTTCTTCATGTCTCCTCTACATCAACATGTGTCCCCTCTTCTTCATGTCTCTTCTACATCAACATGTGTCCCCTCTTCTTCATGTCTCTTCTTCATCAACATGTGTCCCCTCTTCTTCATGTCTCTGCTTCATCAAACATGTGTCCCCTCTTCTTCATGTCTCTTCTTCAATCAACATGTGTCCCCTCTTCTTCATGTCTCTTCTTCATCAACATGTGGTCCCCTCTTCTTCATGTCTCTTCTTCATCAACATGTGTCCCCTCTTCTTCATGTCTCTTCTACATCAACATGTGTCCCCTCTTCTTCATGTCTCTTCTACATCAACATGGTGTCCCCTCTTCTTCATGTCTCTTCTTCATCAACATGTGTCCCCTCTTCTTCATGTCTCTTCTACATCAACATGTGTCCCCTCTTCTTCATGTCTCTTCTACATCAACATGTGTCCCCTCTTCTTCATGTCTCTTCTACATCAACATGTGTCCCCTCTTCTTCATGTCTCTTCTACAAGCAACATGTGTCCCCTCTCTTCATGCTTCTAATGTCTCTTCTTCATCACAATGTGTCCCCTCTTCTTCATGTCTCTTCTTCATCAACATGTGTCCCCCTCTTCTTCATGTCTCTTCTTCCATCAACATGTGTCCCCTCTTCTTCATGTCTCCTTCTACATCAACATGTGTCCCCTCTTCTTCATGTCTCTTCTTACATCAACATGTGTCCCCTCTTCTTCATGTCTCCTTCTACATCAACATGTGTCCCCCTCTTCTTCATGTCTCTTCTACATCAACATGTGTCCCCTCTTCTTCATGTCTCTTCTACATCAACATGTGTCCCCTCTTCTTCATGTCTCTTCTACATCAACATGTGTCCCCTCTTCTTCATGTCTCTTCTACATCAACATGTGTCCCCTCTTCTTCATGTCTCTTCTACATCAACATGTGTCCCCTCTTCTTCATGTCTCTTCTACATCAACATGTGTCCCCTCTTCTTCATGTCTCTTCTACATCAACATGTGTCCCCTCTTCTTCATGTCTCTTCTACATCAACATGTGTCCCCTCTTCTTCATGTCTCTTCTACATCAACATGTGTCCCCTCTTCTTCATGTCTCTTCTACATCAACATGTGTCCCCTCTTCTTCATGTCTCTTCTACATCAACATGTGTCCCCTCTTCTTCATGTCTCTTCTACATCAACATGTGTCCCCTCTTCTTCATGTCTCTTCTTACATCAACATGTGTCCCCTCTTCTTCATGTCTCTTCTTCATCAACATGTGTCCCCTCTTCTTCATGTCTCTTCTTACATCAACATGTGTCCCCCTCTTCTTCATGTCTCTTCTTACATCAACATGTGTCCCCTCTTCTTCATGTCTCTTCTTCATCAACATGTGTCCCCTCTTCTTCATGTCTCTTCTACATCAACATGTGTCCCCTCTTCTTCATGTCTCTTCTACATCAACATGTGTCCCCTCTTCTTCATGTCTCTTCTACATCAACATGTGTCCCCTCTTCTTCATGTCTCTTCTCATCAACATGTGTCCCCTCTTCTTCATGTCTCTTCTTCATCACATGTGTCCCCTCTTCTTCATGTCTCTTCTACATCAACATGTGTCCCCTCTTCTTCATGTCTCTTCTACATCAACATGTGTCCCCCTCTTCTTCATGTCTCTTCTACATCAACATGTGTCCCCTCTTCTTCATGTCTCTTCTACATCAACATGTGTCCCCTCTTCTTCATGTCTCTTCTACATCAACATGTGTCCCCTCTTCTTCATGTCTCTTCTTCATCAACATGTGTCCCTCTTCTTCATGTCTCTTCTACATCAACATGTGTCCCCTCTTCTTCATGTCTCTTCTTCATCAACATGTGTCCCCTCTTCTTCATGTCTCTTCTCTCATCAACATGTGTCCCCTCTTCTTCATGTCTCTTCTTACATCAACATGTGTCCCCTCTGTGTAAAGAGACTCTGAAAGTTTCAGGAACAAGATTCTCTCTCTTTTTGATCCATTTCTATAAAAACCTGTCTGAAAATGAGCTGATCAGATTTTGGCCACTTGATGATGTCATAACGATGTTTTGTCTTGTGTAACCCATTAGCCAATCAGCAACCAAGGTAACCCCCCCCCCCCCCCTTATCACCTGAATCTCCTCCTAGAGCACCATTGAGTTCTTTGTAACCAAATCTCTCTCAGAGGGGCGTGGGGAGGGGCTCCTTATTTTCATCTAAAGTAACAGACAGAGAATCAGCACTTTGGAAACAGGGCTGTAATGATCTGTTTGGTGTTTCAGCCAATCAGAGACAGGCTCTGTATATATCTGAGACCTGTGATATATTGATGAAAGACAGTACAATAGGAGACCTTTAAAGGCTGATAATATGTTTTGACAGCTGGTTCTACTGCCCCCATGTGGTCAAAAACTATAAACAATTGCACATTCAATTCAGCCAGGTGTGTGTTGCTCCATGCCTGATCATTTTGATGCGTGTGTGTGTGTGTGTGTGTGTGTGTGTGTGTGTGTGTGTGTGTGTGCGTGTGTGTGTGTGTGTGGTGTGTGTGTGTGTGTGTGTGTGTGTGCGTGTGTGTGTGTGTGTGTGTGTGTGTGTGTGTGTGTGTGCGTGTGTGTGTGTGTGTGTGTGTGTGTTTGCAGCTTCTCGCCACCGTCCTGTCGCAGTCGGCCAAAGCTAAGGAGCATCTGATGGAGCAGGCCAAGTCTGTGGACCAACCTGCAGGTAGGACAACAACAAGACAATGGTATATATCATATATTAATATCACACTGTGAAAACACTCAAAGTTAGTAAGTATTATTAGCAAGATGTATTTAAAATATTAATTAAATGTATATCAAAAGCACCAAATTAAATCCATATTGTTTGCATGTTGTTAAAAGTTGCTATATCATTTTTACTTTTAATCAGCTAAGTAAATGTACAGAGTTATATCCCACAGCTGCTGTTTCACTGTGATGAGTTCACTTACATTAGGTTTCCACATATAACCTTTTACGACATGGATTAACCGTTTTTTTTGTTAAAATTGGTGAAAACTAGCGTAGAAAACCAAGAAAAAGACCAAATGAAAGCGAGAGTCGTGTCTGAAGAAGCTACTGGTCCTTATGTGAGACACACACACACACTCAGATCTTGGCTGGTGTTACAGACAGATGGCCAAGGCAGGGGATGTAGGAGGAAGCGTGTGATTGGTTGAGAAGGTTTGTTATGTCTTAGAGAGCAGGAATCTGATTGGTCCCTAATCAAATCAATGTGTGAGACTTTGACCAATGGTGTGGAAGAGTAGGGGTCAACACTTATCATCCATCAGATGTTTACAGTGATAGCACGGCAGCTTGACTCTGACCAATGGCGTGTCTCCCAGCAGCCTCCTCTCGGACACCGAGCCAATCAGGATGTCCGCTCCACGAAGCGCCGCCTTACGACGCCACGGCAACCAGGAAGGGGGAGGGGCCATGCGAGGGGAAGGTAGGACAGTCCAAGAGTCTCACATTCAGTCCTTCTCTCTCCCTCTTTCATACGAGGCAATCAGCATCAACACTTAACGGCCACACGATGAGAATGTAGCTCAAACACCACCCTTATATATCTATACACACACACACACACACACACACACACACACACACACACACACACACACACACACACACACACCAAGATGTCCCAGCGGTTTCTCTCGCAACTGGCCTCGTCCGTTCTACGAGTGTTCGGATGCAGCCATGACACGGTGAGTGTGTGAATGAAATCCGGCAAGGAATCTGTGAACGAGGAATCTTTTGTATGTGTGTGTGTGTGTGTGTGTGTGTGTGTGTGTGTGTGTGCGTGTGTGTGTGTCCCTATCTTGCTTATCTGCTACCTGCAATCCATCGTTTTTCTTTTAGTTGCAGCTTCTCCTCTTCCATTGCAGCATTTTTACTTCCTTTGCAGAGATAAATGTCTCTCTATTGATGGCTGGTAGGTGCGCCTCAGGCTAGCATAATTCTAAATATCAGTGTGTGTGTGAGTGTGTGTGTGTGTGTGTATGTGTTTGGTGTGTGTTATGGCAGGTTACCAGCAGTGTGCATGTCGTGGGTGGACTAACTCGGCACAAGAAGTGTGAAATCTGAGCTTACACCATGTACAGTAAGCTTTTATTTACTGTAGTGTGTGTGTGTGTGTGTGTGTGTGTGTGTGTGTGTGTGTGTGTGTGTGTGTGTGTGTGTGTGTGTGTGTGTGTGTGTGTGTGTGTGTGTGTGTGCGTGCGTGTGTGTGTGTGTGTGTGTGCCCGCGCATGCGTGTGTGTGTGTGTGTGTGTGTGTGCCCGCGTGCAACAGGTGTGTATGTTTGCGGGCCAACATTTAGGTTCACGTATCATTATATAATAATTTCATGCGTGATGAACCAATGAGCATATTTAAGTAGCAGGTGGTCGTGGTGTGCATCGTTTGCCTACAATGTGTGTGTGTGTGTGTGTGTGTGTGTGTGTGTGTGTGTGTGTGTGTGTGTGTGTGTGTGTGTGTGTGTGTGTGTGTGTGTGTGTGTGTGTGTGTGTGTGTGTGTGTGTGTGCTGCCATGTAAGCCATGTTATCACGGCCATCTGTTAGCAAGAGTCCTGATTCCTCAACACCCATCGTACTGAAGATACCGTAAGATTTGAGGGAACAACATTCAGATTTTGGGGTTAGTTTTAGGGTTAGGGTTAGTTTTATGGTTAGTTTTAGGGTTAGGGTTAGTTTTAGGGTTAGGGTTAGGGTTAGGGTTAGCAGAATGGAGAGAGACACAAAGGAAGCAGGACTCTTACAAGAAGCAGAGTGTTGGGGAATGAGTCATGCAGAGGTTTTATAGCAGGACTTTGCAGCAAATCAACAACTAGAACAACTATAACATTACCTTTGAAACAACAACTCGTACGAGCACAAACGTATTGTGTTCCTTCTCTCTATTACGACCCACAGGACTCTTCCTCAATTAGCGCCACTAGCGTTGGACGGACAATAACATGTCCTTAACCCAAACATCTTTTTTAACATTTTAAAAACATGGTTGACATTGGGGAAGTTTGATTTGGTTGTAAACATGAGACTTAGGTTCAGAAAAAGATCAAGTCAAAGTCAACTTTATTGTCAATATTCAGTTTGTGTTTACAGACAGAGAGATCGAAATACCGTCTCCCACAATCCAGAGGAATACAAAATACAAATATATGTGCTGTGTTCAATTGGGATGCATCTCTTAGTTCACTTCCATGTGGAACACCGTGATCACTTTGACCGTATAGTGTTGTACTTTAAATCCAACACTGCTGCTTTGCCGTCATAGGATCCCTAATATGATCAGGGCCTTTCTCCCTCCTAACTTTAGCCTGGTTTTCACTACAGAGCCAAGCAGGACTAACTCAATGACACTATGGGACTTTAATATGATCCATAAACGTATAATGATATATATTGGTGTTATAAATGCTAATTCGTGGCCTCTGATGGCCCTACTTGGCCCTGTTGAGAGATCTTTAAGTCATATTCGAAGAGGTGCATAAATACAAATCTTGTGATCCATTTTCTAGGTCTAATCTTTAATATATATTCATTATAATACATTGTATTTTTAGGGTATCCACGGACACTTTACAGGCTAAAATTCATAAAAACAACAATACAAGTGGGTATCTACAGTTTTTACCAGATTATTTTTAATACTTACTTGCTTTTTTCTGTTTGGCCACAAACTTTTTTGAAAGGGTTTTTGTTTCTCTAGTCATAGGAAAGACTTGACAGAGGTAAATAACTTTCTAATACAATATATTATAAACCTTGTGTTTAAAGTGCAGGGCCTTTCTCCCTCCTAACTTTAGCCTGGTTTTCACTACAGGGCCAAGCAGGACTAATTCAATGACACTATGGGCATCTTTATTATGATATATTTATTTGTTTTGGTTTTATAAATGCTAATTATTGGCCCCTGATGGCCCTACTTGGCCCTGTTGAGAGAAAAGTGGCTGTTGCTAAGCAGACTCAGAGCCAATCACAGCATCCCCCCTGTCTTCTCTCCGTAGAGCTCAGAGGCCGTTGTCCAATGGCTGAGCGACTTTCAGCTGCAGGTCTACGCTCCAAACTTCCTGTCCGCGGGCTATGACTTGCCCACCATTAGCCGAATGACCCCGGAGGTAAGGCATCTGACCCCTGACCCCCAGAGAGGCACCTGCAAGGACCACAATGGAAACCAGTCTGCACGACTTTGAATTGTGCCGTCCTTGATGTTTCCCAGATGCATGTGTACCATTTCCCTGAGAAAGTTCTTGAAGAGCACTATCCCTTTCCCACCTACTGTAAAACCTTACACGCTTGACCTGGTCTCTCTTAGATACCTGAGAAACACTTCTGGTAACAACAACTGGACACTAACTTTAATAAATATGAAATGGAAATTAAGCTTTTTAACTCTATTGTCGAAAAATAAGATTTCCGAATCTAACTCTCAGCAAAAATGTTTACAATTATAACTTTTTTAGGGGTTTCCATTTACCCCAGTCTGTTGTTTCAATAGGGAAATCCTAGTAATTTAAATGCATTGTGAGTTAAAGCAATATAAATCTAATACATGGACGACATTTAACTATATCAATAGTAGTTGCAAGTAAACAGTACAGTAAACATCCCTATAAAGGTTCAAACACCGTGCAGTTGAGTCTCTTGGCTCTCATCAAAGACATTTGACGTTTGCTATGCCATCTGCTTAGCAAGAGTATCTTAACTACTAAACGTCATCCCACAGAACATTAGCTGCCTTTAGCTTAGCAGTGGTAACGTGAAGTCATGTGACCTTCCTGTAGTTCCTTTATAGCCCAACATTAGCCACCTTTAGCTTAGCGGTGGTGACGTGAAGTCATGTGACCGTCCTGTAGTTCCTTTATAGCCCAACATTAGCCACCTTTAGCTTAGCGGTGGTGACGTGAAGTCATGTGACCGTGCTGTAGTTCCTTTATAGCCCAACATTAGCCACCTTTAGCTTAGCGGTGGTGACGTGAAGTCATGTGACCGTCCTGTAGTTCCTTTATAGCCCAACATTAGCCACCTTTAGCTTAGCGGTGGTGACGTGAAGTCATGTGACCGTCCTGTAGTTCCTTTATAGCCCAACATTAGCCACCTTTAGCTTAGCGGTGGTGACGTGAAGTCATGTGACCGTGCTGTAGTTCCTTTATAGCCCAACATTAGCCACCTTTAGCTTAGCGGTGGTGACGTGAAGTCATGTGACCGTGCTGTAGTTCCTTTATAGCCCAACATTAGCTTTTCACTTCAGAAATCATAAAGTGGTGTTAATATGTGGAGATTATCCTGCTGAACTCAACCTGTAAGTATCATAAACGTTTGTTTGACACAGAGATTATTTTCTGCAGTAATCCAAAATCACATGGAGGAATCCCATTGACTTGTTTCGAGGTCTGCCCTTGTGATGCTACTTTCAGGATCCACTACAGAATTACATCATCCCTGCACTACTCTTTTAAAAATAGCTCAACATACCCACACATCCTCCTGACCCCCGATCACCTCCCACACTGCCTGTTCTGAAATAACTATACGAATGCTCTCTGCCACGCTCACCTACATGCAAATCATTTATAGTATATATAAATTATTTGTACATGTACTTACACTTCGGGGCTGTGCATGCTGAATGGTTCAGAGCTGAGCTGACTTTAAAAGGCTATTGTTAATAAAAGATATGTCGTAGTAATCTTGCCTATTCTACCGTGTGTTTGGGTCGCATCTGCATATCATTTATTCATCTGTGTGTCTGTCTGTGTGTGTGTGTGTGTGTGTGTGTGTGTGTGTGTGTGTGTGTGTGTGTGTGTGTGTGTGTGTATGTGTGTGTGTGTGTGTGTGTGTGTGTGTGTGTGTGTGTGTGTGTGTGTGTGTGTGTGGGAGTGTTATGATTTTCCATGTATGTTTGTAAAAGTGTGTTCTCGTGTCTACACCTCAAGAAATACACAGAAACAAAACTCACCTGATGATGTATTTTCTTTATAAATAACAATTTTAAATAAATCTGCACATTTTCATTTTCAATACACTTACTTGTGTATTGAGTATACAATTATGAATTTAATGGATATTATGGAGCGGATTCTTTCCAGATGCTTCCTTTTCACTGCAGACATTCGCTTTGCTTTTCAGATGTCACGCTGTCACTGTTTCTTTGTGTTGCAAGTTTTCTTCTATGTGTGTTTGTAACAGAGACAAAGTGTGTGTGTGTGTGTGTGTGTGTGTGTGTGTGTGTGTGTGTGTGTGTGTGTGTGTGTGTGTGTGTGTGTGTGTGTGTGTGTCTGCTGGAGTCTTTGGGAGATTGTGTGGAGGAAGGAAAAAGCCTGAACATGCCACGACTGTACCTTACTTGTGTGTGTGTGTGTGTGTGTGTGTGTGTGTGTGTGCGTGTGTGTGTGCGTGTGCGTGTGCGTGTGTGTGTAGGATCTGACGGCTATTGGAATAACTAAACCGGGCCACAGAAAGAAGATGACGTCAGAGATTAACAAACTGGGTGTCAATGATTGGCTGCCTGACCACAAACCTGTGAGTACAACCCAACACTGACAACACAACACCATGTTTTTTTGTTTTATTTTGAAAAAACACCTTGTGCCACTTCCTGTCTTTGTGTTTTCCTGCTTCCACACTGTTTTTGCCTTTTTTAGATGAACACACAAACGCAGAACGAACAGATGTGCAAATATCTAAAAACAAGCTGTACTGAATTTCATTAATAAAGGTCCATCTTATCTTATCTCATGTTTCTGGTGTTTTCCTCCAGGCCAATCTGGGCGAGTGGCTGTCTGCGATCGGGCTGAGTCAGTACCACCAGGTGTTGGTTCAGAACGGCTACGAGAACATCGAGTTCATCACCGACATCACCTGGGAGGACCTGCAGGAAATAGGCATCATCAAACTGGGTAAGTTATTGTTTTGACATCAGTACGTATGAAGAAGATTTGAAAGTATGAAATGTGAAATGTGCAAGTGTACCGAGCCCCTAGGTTAGAAACACATTCATATGTGGTTAACTTAAAGGGGACCTGTCATGCAAAATGCACTTTTGTACGTCTTTTATAAATGAATATGTGTCCCCGGTGTTCCAGGGAACTCACCAAGTGTCAGAAAACACAACCCTCTGTATTTTCCTCCATACCCAAATCTCTAAAAAAGGGGCTGCAACGGATCTGATAAAAACTGATCCAGATTTGAACACTGTCCTGACGTCAGGACGGTGGCGCTACGGCTATTGGGCCAACTCCACCAATCAGGAGGAGACAGCCACGGCCATTGCCGTTCGAAAGCGCTGGAGACGCTGTAGTACATATGCCAGGCCTGTAGGTGGTGCTGTTCTCGCAGAATCAACCCTTGCTAAAACAGAGCTAGAAATTGTCAAATTGAGCAAAATGAGGCATGGCTAAAATGCATGATCTGTTTGGTATTTTGAAAAAAAAAAAGTATAAATATGCCTGATATAGGTATGGTCCTACACTATATTATTCAAATATAGCATGATAGGTCCACTTTAAGTTAAAATGAAGGTAAGGTTAATAATTCACCTTATGCCTCTTTATACTTGCTTTGGGCCTTCATAGTAATAGCTCATGTGTACTCTTTGATTGATAATGATGTAGTTTATACTGTATGTAAACTTATAGAGGTGATCTTAATTAAAGTACTGTTATTATTGTTTTCAGGCCACCAGAAGAAGCTGATGCTGGCGGTGAAGCGTCTCGCTGAAATGCAGCGCGGATCAGACGGTCGGGGGAAGAAGCCTCCACCAATCACACACACACAGCAGGAAGCGACGTTGATAGACAGCCCGCCTCCAGAAGGTGAGCTAACAGATCACAAAGAACTCAATGGTGCTCTAGGAGGAGATTCAGGTGATAAGGTGGGGGGGGGGGGGTTACCTTGGTTGGTGATTGGCTAATGGTTACACAAGACAAAACATCGTTATGACATCATGAAGTGACCAAAATCTGATCATGTTGATGTAGAAGAGACATGAAGAAATGGGTTTTGCAGAACATTGAACACGTACTGTAGTACCTTCATGCTTATCTAATAAAGTAAATTCATGCCCTGTCTTTTAAATATTCATATTAATCGAATTAATTACTTTTTTTTACTTTTATCTCAGAGCTCATGTCTCCAAAGATGAGCTCCTTCCAGGACAGCGAGTTGAGCCCCGAGCTGCAGAGCGTCATCATGACACAGCCAGGACAGGAAGTCAAAGCTCAGCGAACACGAAGCAAAGACCACGAGGAGATTCTGATTGGAGGAGGAGGAGGAGGAGAACGAGAACGAGGAGGAGGAAGAGGAGAAGAAAGAGGTGTTGGAGGAGGAGGAGGAGGAGAACAAGGAGGAGGAGGAGAAAGAGGAGAAGGAAGAGGAGGAGGAGGAGAAAGAGGCGGAGGAGTTATTGGACCTCCACCGAAAAAGGAGGCTCGGACAATGCGCCAGCAGAGCAGCCAGGGGAGTCGAGGCAGCGTTTCCTCTCAGGGGAAACACCGTCACTCCCACTCCCACTCCATGCCTGCGCCTCCCTACACGCCTCCTCACACCTCCACCAAGCCTAGGACCTCCTCTTCCTCCTCCTCCTCCTCCTCCGTCCAGAGCACAGCTTCTCCGCAGACCAAACACAAGCCCACGCCTCCGTTCATCCAGGGCGAGAGACCCCAGTCTCCTCGATCAAACCCCCCGCAGTCTCCAACCCAACGAGGGCCTCCGATAACCCAGATTCCCCCCCAGACACAACAGCAGCCTCCAGACGTGATGCAGAACCAGGCTCAGCCTCAGCACCCCCCACAGACACAGGGGATGGAGGTAAGGGACTTCAAACTGAATTAAAGCTGCGAGCAGTGATGAGCGGGTCTTCAGACTCGGCCGTCGGCAAACGTGGGAAGTTTCGGGCCGATCGAACAATCTCTGTAGGACTTACAGCAGTAACATAAACATCTTGTTTGATGGCGAGTGATCTTTCGCCATGGCAACGGTATATGATGTCACCCCATAATACAGTTAAATGTCTTGAGGGCTGCATCATTATCAAACATGTGACGTTTTGGGCCGTTTGGAGCATTTCCACTGAAGTTATGAGAAACCCGTGTTTCATGGCGAGCATTGTGTTTCCATGGCAACGGCATTTGACGAAAAATCTCATAACTGACATGTAGATGTCTTCAGGGCTGGACCGTTAGCACACGTCAAGTTTGACCACTTTTTGACCATTTACATTATTTACGTTATAGCAAAATCGGGTTTTACGGCGAGGAATGCGTTAGCAACGGCGTTTTAGCGAATCTCACAATTGTCATATAGACATGTTGTGGGCCGGACCATTAGCCATAATCTGAGGTCTGGTGCCATTTGGACGATTTTCCTAAGAGTTACGACAACACCGTGTTTTAATGGCGAGGGATACGCATCCCTGGAAACGGCATATGATGAGATCCCAGATTTGGTGTAGAGCTGTTGAGGCATCGACCGATGATATACAAGTGTACTATACAAGTTTGATGGCGATCGGACCGTGTCCATTGGAGTTACAACGGCATCGTGTTGGATGGATAAATCGCGTTTTTCCTACGCCAAATTCAAAATGGCCGACTTCCTGTACGTTTTTGTATACACCTCCAAGAGGCTTTTTGGTTCCTGTCTGCATATAGGTAGCGATTTGAGTTGGTGTGGGGGGGGGGGGGGGGGGGGGGGGTTAAGTTCAAAACGGAAGTGGGCGTGGCTTGCCCATTTTTTTATGCAAAGTTCCGGAACCCATTTCACACGTCTATTTTCACCGGTCCTGATGTGCGTGTAACATTTTGTGAGTTTTCATATATGTTGCGGTAGTCAAAAGTGCGATCAAAGAGGGCAAATAAAAATCATAATAATAATAATAATCCTATCGATTACAATAATGTAGCGACTACAGTGACGTGGGCTACCTACTGTCATGATTTTGGCCCCTTTCTCTGTGCTTTTTCCCGTGGTTTTCCCTGTTATCTGTATGTTTCGCATGGTTGTCGCTCGCTTCGCAAGCAATTCAATTGATCCTATGGATATCATGTGAGTTGTAGTCACTAGGCTTGCGCGGGCTATCTGCTGTCATGATTTCGGAAACTTTTTCTGTGCTTTTGCCGGTCGTTTTCCCTGTTTTGTGTGTGTTTGGCAGGGTTGTTTACAATAAGGTCTTCGCCCACCTCTGGTCTCAGACCCTAATAATCCTATCGATATAAACCCACGTCACTGTAGTCGTGCGGGCTACCGACTGTCATGATTTTGGCCCCTTTCTCTGTGCTTTTGCCCGTCGTTTTCCCTGTTTTGTGTGTGTTTTGCATGGTTGCTGCTGCGCCCACGTCACTAGGCTCGCGCGGGTTATCTGCCATCATGAATTCGGAAACCTTTTTTGCTGCTTTTGCCGGTCATTTTCCCTTTTTTGTGTGTTTGGTTGGCTTGTAAATAATTCACCTTATGCCTCTTTATACTTGCTTTGGGCCTTCATAGTAATAGCTCATGTGTACTCTTTGATTGATAATAATGTAGATTATACAATTTATTCTGCTAATTACGCCAGTTTATATGTAAAGTTGAAGAGGTGCTTTTTAAATAAACTTACCTTAACTTTAACCTCAACAGCCACAGGTCCCGATGCTGTGTCTTCCTCCAGAGGTCTCTGAGAGGGAGGAGCCATCACGCCCGCACACCCTCCCCCGATACAACTTCTCCGAGGGGGAGTGTGACGACAAGGAGGGAGAGGGGGAAGCCGAGGTGGTGCTGAGTCCACTTCCTGCCCCGGTGGTCAGAGGAGACGGAGTTAAATACGCAACGCACCGAGTCAGCCGCAGCCACTCGGTCCGCAACCAGGAGAAAATACGCAACCACTCGCAGACGTTAGCTCTGCGTCAGAAGAAGAAAGGACCGCCTCCACCTCCGCCCAAACGCTGCAGCTCCGCCATCTCCACCTCCACCTCCAACCTGACGGAGAGCACGCTCGTCACCGCGGGGGGGGGGGATGCTGGACGTGCCGTTCCTCCAGCAGCGGAGGGCCAGCGACCTGGGGGTCTCCGTGGAGACGGTCGTCATGGAGAAGAGCAGCGTGGGCAGCGTGAGGAGCATCGCCGCCATGTTGGAGCTGTCGTCCATAGGAGGCGGACCAAAAGGCATGGCGCTGCAGAGGAACTTCCTGCAGGTAGGGGGGAGCTCTTTCATTGGTTGCACAAAACACCTTGAATTATGATTTGCCTTAAAGTACCAGTAAGAGTTCCTTGAAATGAAATCAGTTGAACAAATACTTCCTAAGGAAGGAAATGAACCGAACCGTGAGAGCCTTAACAATCCGGGCATGCTGCCGTACTTCTCAACGAGAATGCATTCATGCACTAACAATATCAAGTACACGAGTACAGGAATGAAGACAGAGGACAGGTCTTGTGGGTCTTCCTTAAGGAGAACACTTAGGGTCTCAGGAGCCGCTTCAATGGTACTCTAAAATATTGTATATCCACATACATGTATGTAGTTAATGAGCTAAAGCAGGGGTTTAGTGTGGGAAGGTGAGCCTCCCCTCAGAGAACATAAGAACAGCCGCGCCCCCCCTCCCAATTATTATTGCTATTATTGTTATTGTTGTTGTTGCTATAATGCAGGGGTATTCAGTAAGAGGTCCAGTAAGAGAACATGCTCTGTTTTCGCTGTCTACCTTTCTCGTTTTTGAGCACGCCATTTGAAATGACTCACTGCTGTTTCTCTCTTCTTGTCTCGTCTCTGTGTTTGAATCTATCGTGCTGACTCACTGACTGCACCCATTTGATTGGCTGAGTAGCGTCACCTCCTTAAAACATCAAACAATAACTTTTAAAAACCTTTTTATCTTTATGTTTTAAACTTTTTTTTAAAACATTTTCAACATGGTGGATAAATCCTTCTCTGCTCCCGGCAACACACTGAACGACAACTTTGCCTCCTTATTAGACTCAGCCCTACTTTAGTGGGAACAATGAGTCTGCGTCTTTGATGAGGCGGATGATGCAGGGATGCAATGTGGACGGGACTAAACGCAGATCCTCCTCTGGCCTTGACCCTTACTTGCTTTTCATCAAAGTCAATGCGGAAAACCCGCACTCACACAGGTAGGTGGAGGCAGGGGCGGACTGGAATCTCACCCAGCCAGGCCCACACAAATTGGTAGAGCACGCTCGTGAACTGTCAATGGGGGGGGGGGGGGGGGGGGAAACGGCCCGCTGAACGGACCTCTGTTGCCTGTCAGCGCAACTTACGCTGACGACCGGCCGTTCTGTGATTTTCCAGAACACAAAGATGGCCAGTCCGCCCCTGGGTGGAGGTGAGGGGAATGAGCACTTTTACAGCCTTTTCAACGAGGTGGGGGAACTCGGTCTCCACAGAAAGCCAAAAGTGTGCAAGTGACACTTTACTCGTCTTTTTCTCGTTCCCCAGGGAGGCGCGCCTCACACTTTGAAAACCGCTGAGCTAAAGCATTATATAACAAATTCATTTATGTGTGTGTTTACCAGGTGGGTAAAACTCGCGATGCCATTGGTCTGGACGGGGAGGTGGTGAACCGGAGGAGGACCATCAGCGGTCCGGTGTCCGAGTTGGTGGAGGCGGCAAGAAGGGAACAACCCACTCCTCAACCTCAACTCTCCGTCCAGCCCTCACCCTCCGTCCAGCATCCTGCCTCCTCCCCTCCACCAGTGAACGCCTCCTCCAACAACCCCCCGTCCTCCAACAACCCTCCGTCCTCAAACAACCCTCCGTCCTCAAACAACCCCCCGTCCTCAAACAACCCTCCGTCCTCCAACAACCCCCCGTCCTCCCCCCAGCCTCCGTCCAGTTCGTTGGAGAATCTACCGTTTGCAGACGAGGGAAGTCTGACCATCCGCCGCCAAGGACGAGGAGAAGGAGAAGGACAGGTAGCTATCTATATATATGTTGTCTTTCTTTCTTTCTATCCATCTATCTATCTATCTATCTATCTATCCATCTATCTATCTATATCTCTCTCTCTCTCTCTCTCTCTCTCTCTCTCTCTATCTCTCTCTCTCTCTATATATCTATCTATCTTCTCTCTCCTCTCCTCCTCTCATCTCTCTCTCCTCTCTCTCTCTATCTCTCTCTCTCTCTCTATCTATCTATCTATCTATCTATCTATCTCTATCTACTATCTCGATCTATCTATCTATCTATC